TTTGCTGGTTCGATTCCAGACGGTGACCCTGTACGTGTCATACCCCCTTTCTCTCTCCCGCCACTTCCTGTCTGCCTCTACCTGTCACAGAGGAGAACGCCCATACAACAAGCTGTTAAACTGCCGGGGGTGGCCTCGTCCACGATGGCTGTCATTACTCAGTGTCAAGAGGGAAAACAAATGAGAAGTGTGGTGTTTGAGTGGATCTGTGCTCTACCTTTGCTCTGTTAGCTCTGATAATGCATCTACTTGAGAAAAGGGTGTGGTGAGGAAGGATTTACAATTCCAATTCAAAAACTGAGTATAGCTGCTATTCCACTGTTCATAGTGCAAGTAAGATATTTTATTACTAATGCTTCTAGGTGACTCCAAATCTACAATTTTAATAACAAAGCTATAATATAGGTGATCCTATATGTTTCCTTATGAATCCATTTCCTAGCGGTTATTAGCATCCTTGCTTCCTTTTGGTTTTTAGGAGGCATGGCTGTGTTTACACATTAAAGCAGGATCAGTCATTCACCTCCTCACCACCGCTGCACTTGTGTCTGTCACTGTGTGTCCTTAAATGTATAAATATGACTTGATGCCATTATGGAAAAGTTCTCTATTGTGGATTTTCCCTTTTCACAACACATGGCACAGTTCTTTAACAAATCTAACTTTTGCTCTGGAGAGGAAACTTCTTCTCTTGGCACAATGTCCCGATCTACTGTGACATTTAGACTGTTTGTCCTGCTCAGTATTGACTTTTCATACTCTCCCTCTGTGCCAGGTTCAGATTCAGGAACAGCAGGGCCAAACGGTTGGCCAGATTCTTCAGGTGGCCTCCCCCTCTCAGCAGGACCTGCAGGGAATGTCAGCAGCCCAGCTTGTCCAGCATGGAGAGCTCACAGAGGAGCAGCAGCAGCAGGTATTAGATTTATTTAAACAGTCACACATATCAAGAGCATCCACATGATGCGTCGTTGCTGGTTTGTGACTCTGTCGACTGTGTTTCACAGATTCAGGCACAGTTGGTTGCAGCTGTAGCTGGAGGGCAACAAATCCAGTTACAGGGAACACAGCATATTCAGTTGCCAGGGGGGCAACAGATTCAACTTCAGGCTGGCCAACAGATTCAGCTTCAAGGTGGCCAACAGATTCAGCTACAGGGTGGCCAGCAAATTCAACTACAGGGTGGCCAGCAAATTCAACTACAGGGTGGCCAACACATTCAGCTACAAGGTGGCCAGCAAATTCACCTACAGGGTGGCCAGCAGATTCAGCTACCAGGAGGGCAACAAATTCAGCTACAAGGTGGCCAACAGTTTCAGCTACCAGGTGGCCAACAGATCCAGATCCAGACCATAGAGGCCATGTCTCCTTCACAGCAACAGGACTCTCTCAGGGAGGCAGAGAGGAGGTCTTCTCCTGCCTCAACTGTTCTCCAACCTGCCAAGAAGCGAAAGGTGGATGTCCCTCTAGCTGTGTCATATGCCATTCCACAGGGCCAGCAGGTGGCCACAGTTGTAGCCATCCCTCAAGGGCAGCAGCAAAGCTACGTGTCCCTACGGCCAGATTTGCTCACTGTGGACAGCGCTCAGCTGTACAGCACTACAGGAACAATCACAGGCCCCACAGGTGAGACCTGGACCATCCCAGTGTACTCCACTCCACAACAGCAGGGTGTCACTCACATTGCCATACCACAGGAGACATACAGCACAGTGCAAGTTACCACCACCAATGGTAAGGATAAAATGTCCCCCAGTTCCTCGTCAAGGTCTACAGATGTGCAGTCTGCCTCCGCTGGGACGCAGGAAGAAATAGTACAGATGTTCCCAGCACAGTTCATGAACGGGAACATTCACATCCCTGTAGCAGTGCAGACAGTAGGAGGGACTTACAACACTACACAGTCGGTACACATATGGGACCCAAATCAACAGCAGGGCCAAGGAGAAGAGGGACAAGAACAGCAGCTCCATCTGCAGGTTTGGAGAGACGTTTTCCCGACAGTATGACTGAAAGTAAATCTGTCCTATGCATAAAGTGGATAAACAATCTTAAAATGAATCTTCATGCTGTGATGAGAATGGAAAAATGTGACATACCTGTTTTCTTTATAGTCAGGAAACACTAATAACTACCTGAAGTCTATCAAGAGAGCTGCTGATAGTGTTTGATTCTTGGTGTTAGGCCTGGTGGTGTTTGCCGTTTTAGATAACAAATAAATAATCATTACTATGCAGTTATACTATTAATTAGCTGAATTATTATCATGTTATTATTAAGGTGCGTTTAATCCTTGCTGCCATCTTTCCAAGAAAGCGTTAACTTTGACGTTTTTATTGTGGGCTTGTGCAGGGTCACATAGAGACAGAGGCTCACGCTGAGCCGCCTACAGAGATTCTGGTTCCTGTCTGTCTAAAGCCAGAGGAAGGCCTGGAGGTGTGGCGCCTTTGGGCACATCGAAAAAATGCTGAGCTAAACAAGCAGGAAAGGACAAAGCTCGCACCCATAGGACGTAAGTCAGCTAATAATTACTTGAACACACATTCATGTTTGACATTTGTCCAACAGCACTGATATCTATCATTACATGTACTTAACTTGAACCACTGGAAGCTTTGCAAGTTCAGCTTTGTTTTGATTCCTGATGTTAGCTGTTGTACCTCCTTAATCATGTTTATCCTGTTTTTAAACCGAGAAATAAGCAAGTAAACTTTGTAGCACTCATAAAACTTAACCTCTGCTCACCTCTCTGTGGCCGCGTCCAGGTCGTCAGCCCCTGCGTTTTCAAGAAGACTTGGTGTCCAGTGCCGTAGCCGAGCTAAACTTGGGTCTCTCCCTGATGACGCAGGAGGCCCGAGGATCAGAAGAAGAACAATTTGCATCCGATGTTCTATATTATGTTTTCTTGTGTATACAAAAGGTTAGACTCCTCATGCCCAGGCAGCGTATCATGCCAAACAGCTCTCTAAGTCACTAAGTTTTAACATGTACATTTCTTTTTGTAGTATCTCTGCGAGAACGGACGTGTGGATGATATTTTCTCGGATCCGTATTACACACGTTTTTGTGGGTCTTTACACAAAATCCTGGATGGCTGGAAACCCAGTATCCACCCTTTAGGTAAGAGAAGATCAACATTTAGGGTTTGATTTATTTGTTTTATAGAAAGAATAAACTTACTGAGTGTTTTTATCTCTTTTAGGTTATATCATCCCAAGTCATGTGACGGAGGAGATGCTGTGGGAGTGCAAACAGCTTGGTGCCCATTCACCAGCCACACTGCTCACAACTCTAATGTATTTCAACACTAAGTGAGTACCTGAATCTGTTCTCTTCACTGACACAAGACACGTATTGTAGATGTCGTTACTGCATGTGGTAAAAATATATCTGTCACAGGCATTTCCACCTGACGACAGCTGAGCAGCACATGAAAGTAGCTTTCTCGAAGGTCCTAAGACACACGAGGAAGAATCCCGCCAATGCCAAGGACAAAGCAACCAGTATCCGCCTTCTCAAAGGACAAGGTCCACACAGCGCAGGACAGAAAGGTGCTCAGTACCGTTAGCCTCATGTTGAAGTCTCGCCTTTGAAAGCAGAAATTGCTGCTGCTGACCTGCTGTGTGTGACGTCTGTTTCAGGAAACGATGAAATGTACGAAGAGCAGGCCGAGGATCCCGAGAATCCTCTTCGCTGCCCGATCAAACTTTATGACTTTTATCTCTTCAAATGGTGAGTGACGCATCACATAAACCCTACAAATAATTCTTCAGTACAAAACCACAAACGCCTAACTCCCACTCCCTTTTTCCAGCCCCCAAAGCGTTAAGGGACGTAACGACGCGTACTACATGACTCCAGAGCCCGTCGTTGCACCCAACAGCCCGATGTGGTACTCGTCTCAACCCCTCACGAGTCAGCAAGTGGAGCACATGCTGGCCCGCATCATCGTGGTCCGAGAGATCCAGGAGATCATTGGCGCCAGTCAAGACAACATGAGCTAAACTGAGAGGACTGCCTGCACTCGTGGGAACTAGTTCACTGGCTGTTGACTATGCAGTATCCATCCTGACTGTATAAACCTCAATGACCATCTCAAAACAACTTCTGAAAACAATCAATTCTCTCCAAGGAGTGTGTTGGGACATTTTTTCTCTCTCTTCTTACATTTTCTGTTTTTATTTGATGCGGTGGGCTGTTCTTTCTCTTGACTACCTTTTTGTAAGCCATTGCCTCTGTAAGGCTTTACTGGCAAGTGAAGGAGGCTCTGTGATTGACCTCCTGGGCTCTGAGCTCACCAGAGGTGGTAAATGTTCCTGTAAAAGTCAGTCTTATCAATATGATATGAGGATATTTAACCCTTCACTACTTAACCTCACAGACCTTTAACCACATCTTATTTCTCTTCAAAGTCCCACTATGATACGCGGCATCTTACTGGACAATTACAGGGACCACTTCCCACTATTTTTTTGTTTTTGTATACTGACTGCATTTTGGATCATGTATCAATATGTTCAAAGCTGAAGAACTTGTGCCTGTTTTTCAAAAATGACATCATAATTTATGCTTGTGGATCACTGAGTGAGGTGAACCTCAAATATTCACAAGGTCAAGTGCTATATTGTAGTCATTCAGGAGATTGGAAACATTTTTCTCAGGTCAAAGCTAGTGATTAAAACACCCATCTAGGATTTTTTGCCAACTTATTCCTGTATGTATAGTAGGTTATTAAACAGGATATTCAGATGGAAACATTGTTTAGCTGCCACAGTATTAATCCTTGTATCAAAAGTCATGTGAAGCGATTCAAAAATGAGAAGCATTGAGCGCAGTGTTGTCTGTGGAAATGTGGACATTTGAAATAAGGATTAGTTACGGGCCCTTTTTAAAAAAAAAAAAAAAAAAAAACTTGTTATACCAACATCATCCATAGGCTGGTTGTGCGTCCCATGAAACAACATGCACATTTGGATGAACGACGTTGAGAAGAATAGTTGTGATACAGTTCTGCTTTATTTGTTTATTACTAAAATGAGTTGTAAAGCACTGTACAGTCATTTTACACACAGTCTCATTTGTGGTTGATACATTTACACAACCTCACAAACAAACCCACAACAACCCAGCTCGATATCATTTAATTTCCCACTTAACTTAAATGGTACATATGATACAACCCCCCCCCAGCAGTCTGAAATCCTTCAGACAAAAGCTGGATTACAAAGAATTGAACAGAAAAGCACAGAGGTGATTATTTATTATCCTTTTTATCAGGAAGAGTTAATTGCAGTCGATTCAGTGTTTGCACAAAGTATTTAGGCAGTGGGCTGGACACCCTGAGGTCAACTTCACTGGTTCCTAGCAGCGTCAGCTCTCGAGCGAACAAATGAAGAGGAAGGTGACGGACCTTGCTCTGTTCCAGTCCAAGCTTTCCCAGCATACGTTCTGGTAATTTCTGTACACAAAAAATAATGAACAAACAGATACTTTGTTACTTAAACTAAACTGAGTTAAACTGCAGAAATATTGGTCCTATTAAGTGTAAAGTCCAGACTTATGTTAATGAATTAAAGCAGACACTGAGGGTGAGTAAGACCATAAGGGTTGCTGGTATTACTTAAAGTACAATAAAAAAAAGTACATGCGGGAGGGAGATGAAAGTACAAGATGCTGGTTGGCTCAGACAATAACAAATAACCCCCAACCCACAGTGTGACAGTTAATACATTTATAAAGGCCACATTTGGAACAACAGCATAAAATAACAGCTAATATCTGAGCTGATGAATTTAGGCTTCAACTGCATTACCTGAACTGTAGAATGACTGAGTTATATACAACTTGAGGTGATGGAAACATTGTGTTTAACTTCACAGGCCAGCAGAGAGATATTTAACAATTTACACTGGGGAGAATGAATATCTGTAGCTCTACACCTTAATGTTAAAGCAATCGAGCTGTAGAAAACTTTTTATTATTCTTTACCATCATGCAAAACTACTTTTTTAAAAATAATTCTCCCTTTTACTAGTTGGAGATCAAAAAGCAGCAAATGATACACTTGTTTAAGGGGGATTTGTTGAATGGTACTGGTATGGAGCTCACATTATTCATCTACCAATTATGTCATTATTATATTGTTAGTTATATATTAGCCAGTTTACCACTATATTATACTTCTGGATTCATATAAAGCTGTAAACATAGATTTTACCTGAGGTGCCAGTTTGCTCCAGTTGGAATATTTGTGATCACCAAGAATGGGGCACGTGAGACCAAGTGCCATGTGGACCCTCATCTGGTGCTTCACTCCTGTGGACACAAGAAAGAAGAACGTGTGTCCAATCTCCCTTAAAAGAAATCTAACAAACTGATTTGGGAGTAGTTTCTGTTAAAAAAAGTCTTCCTACCAGTCAGAGGCTGGAGCTCCACAAGGCTGCAACCACCGCTGCTGTCCAAGACTCTGTATTTGGTTACTGCAGGATGGGCCTGCCGATTGGTCCGGACTTTGGTCAAACCGTCGCCTGCATCGTTCATTCTGAAAAGAGGACTTAAAGCCATCTGAAATTTAAAAAAAAAAAAAGTTATGAGATTGAAGAAACTATATGAAGACGAGACGACTACATTTAATCATCGACTGTACTTTTCAACTTTAAATACCCAATATAGGTTAAATGTAATGTGACAGACTTTACTGTATAACATCAAACATGGAAAAGAAAGTCATTTATGAAGCTAAAACCAGTGCATGTTCGCTGTTGTTACCGATAACTACAGCAATTCATTTAACAAACTTGGAATCAGTTGATTAACAGCTAATTATTACAGCATCAAAACCACAGAAGGAGAGACACCTTGTAGTGTGGCCGAGGGCCTGGGACCTCTTTCTCTATGATGGGAATGTCAACCACTCCTACAGATGGCACAGGCACACCAACTGTGATGACCCTGAGGAGGGAAAGTGAATATGTTAATTGTAGCATGTGATCATGAGACAACCCCAGTTCTTCTGTCCCCGTACGAGCGCTCACCAGTACTTTCTCTGCACTTGGTTATTCCTCTGAAGGTTGAGTATGTGCTCCACCACTTCTTCCCTCCTGGCCAGCAAGAGAGCTCCCGTCGTTTCCTTCTCCAGCCCCAGACAGGGGAGCAGCTGAGACCCCGAGTTGACCTTCATACCATCCAGCATTTTGGAGAGAACAGGAAGCACCGAGGAGATGGATGTGGCCCCACAGTCATCTGAGGGACGACAACAGCAACATGAATATACATGCATTCAGGTCTCCATCAGCATGACGGTCCAATAATCTCTGTTGTACTGTAGTTGCAGCTTATTCCATAATGTTACCATCAGTATCTTCAGTATGCAAGTTAAGATTTTCTTCCTTATCTACTAATCTGTAGAATAATATTTTGTGTCTATAAAATGTCAGAAAATAGAGAAACATGTCCATCACAGTTCCTCAGTCAGAGGTGACAACTTCAGTTACAGTGACAGAATAAAAACTGAGCAGAGCAGACACAATCTTATTAATTAGTTGGACATAATGAGACATTTGAAGATATTATCTCTGGTCTCAGAGCTTGCAATGGGCAGTTACAGTATTAATACCAATTCTGACATATATAGAGCTGAAACCAGTGAATTTGTGGCATTTTATTTAAAAATGACAAACAATTAATCTGCAATTTCCTGTCAATCAACTACTAATTTCAGCTCTAAAGAGTTACCAAACACAAGTTCTCCCCAAACTCTGTTAAAGTGCACGTTAACTCAGTGTGAGCTCCTGCGGGTTCACCTCGGACTGGAACACCGTAAGGTTTGTTTATGACAACCACATCTTTATCCTGGTACAGCACGCTTCTGTGGAGCTGTTTGGCCAGCACGTTAGGATGGACGTGTTGTAGCTGCTGACTGAACCGTTTCAGCTCCGCCACCCTCTTCTGCTGCCCGGACACCGGAGCCTCCGTCTCCGGCTCCGTGGCCGCCGCCGCCGCCGCCCGGGG